AAAGTAGAGGAAGATGGGCATGGATGTTAGCCCAGGGCCAGTCTTTTTCAGCAAAAAAGAGGAGGATTGGCAGATGTTAGCTTAGGGCCGATCTTCCTCACACACACACAAAAAAATCGTATGCTCAAACACCCTCCAGGAAGTTTTAATTATTGATAAGGTATATGAACAGTCTTTTATGGCCTTTTTCCATTTTTATATTATAGTGTTTATCTTTTCTGTACGGATTTGTAAGGCATCTCTGTGTACTAAGAATGTGAACACATGTCACTTATATTGTGAGACATTTTCCAGGCTTTTATCACTGTTTCACTTTGGTGACATGGTGACAGCACTTTTAGTTTGTTAGTTTGCTTTTACATAAATAAGTTATTAATTTCATGAATTAAAATCGATCAATATCTTGCAGTTTCTCACTGTGGAATCTTGTTTGGATATGTCTTCTCCATCCCAGGATTATGAAATAGTCATATACACACACATGTGTATATATACACTCATGCAGATATACACACACACATCTATATATATACACACACACGTGTATATACACATCCATGCAGATATACACACACATACATCTATATATACACACATGTGCATATATACACATACATTCCAGTGTGATTCTTATGCTTATCTCTTTAATCAACCTGAGTTTACCTTTACATATGAAGTAGCTCTTGAAATAAGCCCTCCTTTCTCTATGAATTTACAACGTGACCTTCCTGAAAGGATGACTCAGAGATGTTCAACATTATTAGAGCTCTGACTTTTCAATTCAACTAAGCAGAACACCTTCCTCAAGGCCCCAAAATTAAATTAGTTGGTCTCCATTTTGTAATTATCAAAATCGAACTCTCTAAATCTAGTATCACAAATACTAATACAAAAGCTAACTTAAAAATCCAGTAAATTGGATTCAGCAGTAGCTTGAAATTTGCATTTCACTTATAACAATTCTAAATGGTGTCCGCATTTGGGCAGGGTCCAACCCATGGTGGCCAGGGTCTGTCTCGACCCCGGGATCGACCTTCCTAATCAGTCAACACAACTGTTGAGATTCGTGCACTGAGACGGGGGGACAGGTGTCTGTTGTTTGCTTTGTTTCATTTTTATTTCGAGAGTGAAGACTTTCCCTTACCTTGGGCTGTTCTAGAGAACACAGAAGGTGAAAGCAAAGATCCCCGTAGGTACAATAAGGACACGTGTTCAATTAGTAATGAGGGGACTGACTTTTTTCTCGGTTTAACAGCAGGAAGACAAGACAGTGTTCAACAGAATCACTGTTCCAAGAGGTCAAGCATTTTGAAGATCTGCAGCCTTCACAGAAGGGGTTTTATATTACACAGCTCAAAAGGGCTGGTAACAGCCAATTAAAGACCCAATCTTCTTCCAAGTTAGCTGGCAGATTGAAAAAGTACTGCCGGTACAGTCCATTTTATATGAATGCTTATCGTGAAGTGGGAGGTGCATAAAATTCTTAAGGTTTTAGCGTGCCAATAGGATAATTCAATGACAAGAACACAAATCCACACCTATCAAACTAAAACTAAAGTATAATTACTAGGTTCATCTTGTCATTTTATTTGCATTCTTAAATACTGTTAAATAGAAGCTGCTGTGTGCACCAGGAGGAGACTAAAAACCTAAAGGAGCTTAGCAAATGTTAATTCTTATTTTTATCATTGGAATCACTCCGCCATCATAAAACATTTTGTCACTCAGCTCCTGCTGGTAAAGATCCATGGTATAAAAGGGGAAACACGTTCAGTGCACTATTAAATCTGATTACTTTCCACGATACTTTAAATACAACTTTAGAACTATGAATTTTGCTTAAAACAGTCTTTGGGTACAAAATAAACCCTAGAATGAAGATGGTCGACTTATGTAATTTACTGGCAAAATATCAGATGAAGCTAATTTAAATGATTTCCATACCTTCTTGCCTCACAGCAGCCATGATCGGCCCAGTTAGTGCTCATGGCAGCTCCTCAGAGGGACCAGAGGCGGAGGCTGTGGGACCAGCGGGGACAGGAGGTGAGCTGACTAAAGGTTAAGTTTGACCGCTCTACTTGTCTCTTCTCCAAGACATGGGTTTGCTAACCCGGGAATCCCCGCCGGCTCCTTCTTAGGTTCCCACGTGTTCCTTTTATTCCGTAGTAATATTCCCATAGTGATATTATTATAAAATATTAATTTCCTTTCCCTTGACTATGATGCTGGCCCCCAGGAGTGTGCTCCTGCTATTTGAAGGTGAAATACTTTTCACTGGGCATGAGATTAAAACAATCATTTTTCTTTCACGCTCTTGGTCACTTATGTGACCCTCAGCACCTTACTTCTCTGAGTCAGGGTTCTGTTCCACAAAATGGGCACAGTCCTAACCTCCCCGAGTAAATAGTTGAGCTTTTGTGATGGCATTTAAAATGAAAATAGATGAAATTACATTTAAATCTAAAAAAATTCTAAACAAATGTAAGATGTGCTAAGAGGCTAATAGGCAATAATAATTTAATTGATGTACCTCCCAGTAACAACTTATTTTCTAAAAGAAATTTCAAATTAACCCCAAAGAGTGACTTATCATGGGATTTTAATGGACTTGGCAAATTGGCAGAGGAGCCCTGTGGGTCATGGCGCCATCTGGATGTATCACAGAGCCCTGAGCTCTCCATTCTGTTATCTCCATCACAGTGCCAGATTTGGGAGAAAAGAATAGTTTGCACACTTATAAACAGAACTTAGCACAGCACCCCAACATTTGTTGGATGGATGATCAGAGTGATAAATTACAGAGTAAAGGGAAGAATGGACCCAACTGGTGGGTTATCTCTGCAGATAGAGTGGATAGTGGTGCGAGAGGCCAAAAGCAGAAGTAAATTTGAATTTAGAATAGGAGCAGCTGCAGGCAGCATATTTTATTTATTTTCCCCAATTTTACCTGGTTTGAAGCACAGTATGTGTTCTGTTCAGGTATTAGGAACCATCCATGGAGGAACTCCCAGCTTGGTTTCCATACTTGGACGAAAGGTTAAGTCAATATTTAGATTTCGCTGTTGAGTGGCCTTGGTCTCTTCATCACTCTTGGGTTTTTGAGGGAACTGTTACTCTATTGGGTAATGATGGAAACTCCTATCACTATCTTGTGAACACTGTCAGTATTGGTGCCTGTACAAGATCCGAGTGAGTCCCTGAGGTGAGGGGAGGGACGAGACCTGGTCTCTAACTGCTGAAGAAGGTGGTAATTGCAGTACCACGAGGAGAGCTCGAGGATGGGGAGACGGGATGCCTCGGAGCGTGGGTTGGTGGGCTTAGCAGGCACAGGAGGAGGAACCTTGTTAACACGAAAATACAGTGCATAGTTCTTAAAAATTCCTGACCCCTGCCCATGGGAGAAACACTGGCTGCTTTTTTTTTTCTTTTTCATGGTTTGCTGTTAATGTGTATAATCATTAAATGAATCACAAACTTTCAAAATGAAAAGTGATGTCGGTGGCCACCCACCCAGTGCTTCAGAACCCCAGGCAGAGGGTGGGCGCCAGCGGCTATGACCCCCCCAAACCTGCTAAGCACAACTGTTGCCCAGGGAGAGGTTTCAGATAATTCATAATCCTCACATGTGTCTCCTAGCACCCCCAAATAAAGATGGGGAGACCGATGTCTAGTCCAACCCTGGACTGTGGGGGTGGTTAGGCCAGGGGACCGCCTCTGGGCTCTCACTCCCTGCTTTCCGTTCCCAGCACAACCTTCCTATCATAACTGCTTCCCTGGAGTTTCTTTGCTCACACGCAACTCCCTCCCCATTTTCCCTCCACCAAATCTATGCGCTTCTCCAGGGCGAGTCTCTGGCTTTCTTCCCAGTCATTCCTTAACAAACCTTCCCTGACCATCTTCTCTGTGTAAGGCAGAGTGGAGACACTATGGAACGAGGCAGCCTCACCCTACTCCCTGTCTGCCACTCCCAACACCATCACTGTGGAATTCAATTGACCTAGGGAATAAAGATATGGCTCACGTTTGTTAAGCGTAGACCCAGTTGCAATTCAAAATTTTTATTTTGCATCCTGCAAGCTAACATTAACCGACGACTGGATTTATTGGGAGAAATTGCACCATCCTCCTCATCACTGTGTGCGTCAGGCACTGGAGGGAATGACACAAAGACAGACCTCGGTCTGGAGCTTCCCAGTCTCACTTATGGATCACAATGAACAATTCAGCATGCAATGTCACTTGTGTTACAACGAACAACGCAGCATGCAACACTGGAAAAGCACCAGGAAGCTGTTTCACCCTGCTGTTGAACCTTCACATGGGACAACTGACAGCTTGCAGTGGGAAAAAAACAGACAGTTCTTTGCATTTACATCCAACCTTAACTGGTAGGACCAAATATACACAACAATGTGACTGTTAAGAACAAGAATCATATTTTCATAGTTCATATGAATAGGTAATTTCCCAAATAGTTTTCTCTGTTCATATTTTGGAAATTAGTTAAATTTATTAATAATACACCTTCAGACCAAGATATAAAGCATATGCTGTTATATTTGTAAAACTAATCCATTTTCTGCCCCAATCCTGCAAAAAGCCTGTTGCCTACAAATGCACTTATAAAGTTGTAGCAAACAAAAAATTCCCCACTATGATATTCACACACACACACATAAATATGCCCCTGATGAAAATAACTGGAATGATCTGAAAAGATACTGATGGACCACGTTGGCTATGATAATTGCTTCAAAAGTAATATTTGAAATAGAAATTGCCCAAGTATATTTCCTCAATTACTATGTAATAAACAAATAACCAAAAGTATGATTTGTTTTTAAAGGACTTGAAATTGATGGCCATAAAGTCTAATATTTGCGACTCAGGAATTATTTTTAAGTTGACGACAACAGGCCAGAGGTTAGCCAGTTTGGAAGAGAGAAGGGTTCTGAAACAACAGAGGAGGGTTCAGAAGAGAAGAAAGTCAGCGGTCTTACGTTTGCAGGTCTCCTAGTGGCCTCTGACCCATGGACTTGAGCAATGGCTCTGGCCGGATGGCCACCTGGGGTGACGTCTTGGGGCTGGAGTCTGACTCTCCGCTCTCCTCGTCGCCCATGGCTTTGATGTAACTCCCACTCCTCATCCTCCTGCAGGGTATCTCCTCGTCCTTGCCCCCGGTAGGGTACCCTCCCCACTCGTCCTGAGGCACCTAGAGAGAAGAGACACACAACATGCATCAAACTTGTCACTAGAATCCTGTTTCTGGCTCTTCTGGGGGAAGAAATTCTCCACGATTCCCTGAGGACCTAGCTCTGTATGGTCATTTACCATGGAAAGTCATGTGCATCAAGATAGATGCTTCTTAGTGTTCTGTCATTCAAATCCTAGAAGGACATTAATATAAAACTATTGTTTTTTGCCCATTATAAAAGTGATAGATAAATATTACAGAAAAAGTGAGAAAATGTCATGAACGTAGAAGGAGAAAAAAACCCAACTTGTAATCTCAGGACCTAGACAAAACCACCGATAACATTCAGATTTATTTCCTTTTGGTATAAAACGAAACGGAAACTGGGGGAAGAAAAGTTACCCAGTGTGGAGAAGAAGGAAGGAAAAACAGAGGGGCAACGAAGCAGTGCAGAGCAAGAAGACAGGGCCCAAAAGACTGGAAATTTACCCCTTCAGTGCAGCTGACAAAGGAGCGGGCTTGACGCCAGAAGTTGAGTTTTATCATACACGCAATCCCCGCCCCCGAGGGAGAAAGGCTGCTGCCCTGGACACATCGCCCGCTTCCTCGGTGCAGGACCGAACGACCGTCCGTGTTGTGCACTCCCGGCAGAGGCCCACAGGTAACCCGCTCAGCACTTGCTGTCAAGTTTCCTCTGAGGCAGGCCAAGCCAGAAAGATGATAGAGCAGGGCAGTATCTCGGTATTCGCCCACCGCACATGAAACTCAAGCTCCTCACACCACCACAAACAGAAACCACGGAACTTTCTAAGATGATGTTTCCACCAGTGTGCACCTGTTCTGTGCCGCTCGGGGTAGAGTGCTCCTTTCAGGGTACTCCACTAGCTTTGCACAGCCACCCGGAGGCTCTGGATGAAGTTGACCCCATAGTCAACTCACATTTATGAAAGCAAAACCCACAGTGTGCGGCAGCTGAGGGCAGAGATTCCACGATTTGGCACAGCACACCCATACAATTGCATACGGTTCTGCATCAGAGGACCTAACTCAGGTGTTCTTCATGCGGGAGGAGTGATCTCCCACTCGCTGTTTATGGAGGAAGAAAATGATAAAATTCCATTTTTAAAGTGTGTTCCAAGTTGGTGTTTTTCCTATTGTAAAATACGTAGATACTCATGCATATTCTTTAAATCACCCTAAAAAGAATCCTGCTCTTTCCAGTTTTGATGTTCCCAGGGAGCCCGTGCATCAAGCACCCCCCAGGGACCTGCTGCCTGGGAGGAAGGCAGAGCTTCCAGCCGAAAGCACTTGTATTCATTTCCTTAAACACGAGTGTCACGTTGCTTTGGCAGATCAGACGTCTTCCACGTAAAGCCCAGGACAGGACACCGAGGGCGGGAAAGCGCTGCTTATTGGGGTTACTGGTACGGCCTGCAGTTCTGGCCAGGACGGGGAGGACTCGCCTTGCGCCTCACTCAGCGTGGAAAGGCACGAACGTCCAGACAGCAACAAGCCCCTCAAGGCGCCGGCGGTGATGATTTAGATGGATCCTATCTGCAGGGTTTGTGTTTTTAAAACAGCACATCCCTGAGCCGGCTTCGGTCCATGGGAAGCGCATGGAAACACCCCAGCAATGCGCAGTGAAGTAGATCCAGACACCGGGATGAGGAGAGGGTTTAACAGAATGGAAAATTCCAGGTTCTCATTAAACTCTGACCCCAAGAAGCTGTGTGGATTGGGGGAACTCACACAGCCCCATCTCCTCAACCACAGAACAGAGGTCGGGTGTGGCATCTACAGCCCTGCTCAGCTGGGCATCCCTAAGCTCTTTGTGCCGGGCTCCACACAGGTTGAAAGAAGAATACGACCACGTGGAAGGGCACTGTGAATGCTGAAGACCCGGGCTGGCGGGGCGTACAGACTGCAGTGCAGAGTGGTCAGGACACAGGGAGAATGAAATAACGCTCTGGGACACACAGAGGGCTCTTTCAGAAGACAACTGGCAACTGAGAAAATAGGCATAAATGCATGTCGAAGATGTCCTGACACTTCGGATTTTTGAGCCCTGGAAAGAAATGGCTAATGAAGAATGAAGGATTAATTGCTCTGGGCATTTAACAATTCTTATCCGTGTGTCTTCTTACTAATAGCCGGTTTTCCACACTTAGAAAAACAATCGCCAGGATGGAGAAAGATGCAGGAAACAGGCATTTCCACACAATATCATGCCACGTGGTAACGTGGGTCCAATCTTTATGGCAACACATCAGAAGACTTCAGACTGTTGACGCCCTCGACACACAGCGTCACTTCTGCGAAGGCGTCCTCAGACAGGAGGATTCGGTGCCAGGGACTGGTGAATTGTTCATCAGGATGAACGAGGAAATGCCGATAATCTCCTAGAGGAGATGGCTTGAAATATTTATCACAACCGTACAGTGGTTACCATTCTGCCCTCAAAAATTATAGTGCAGGAGAATATATATGTAGCCATGCAAGAATAAAGATGTTCATGAGGGGGCAAGCAATTTTTAAAAAGCACAGTATACAGTCAATGTTTTTTTTATGCAGCCATGCGTCACTTAACGACAGGGATACTTTCTGAGAAATGTGTTAGGTGAGCTCGTTGTTGTGTGAACATCACAGAGCGTAATTACAAACCTAGCTGGTATACCCTACTACATACCCAGGCTCTGTGGTACAGATCTTATGGGGCCACTGCATAGAAAGATGGCTGGAAGGATGTGGAACAGGGGTCATCACCAGGAGATATTGATTATGGGATTCTCAATTATTTTTCTTTATACTTATATTTTCTAAATTTTCTACATGGACCATATATTGCTATTGCAATAACACACAAACGTATTTTTAATTTAAGAAAAGTCAGTCCTCAATGACAGTACATTTCAGTAGAAGAGACAGAAATAAAAAGACATGAATTATGGTTTAACTAGGGCACAAGATGCAAGTGCAGAGGGGAAATGGAGAAGGGGTCAATGAAGCTGTGGACAGAGGAGGTGATCTGGGAAGGCTTCCTGGAGGTGAGGCCTGGGGTCCTAACTAATTTGCATTTGACCAGCAGAAAGGCACAGGCAGAAGAAACAGACAAAGGCACAGGCTCCCATTCCCCGCGCTGAGGAAAGAGGCGCGGCCAGCTGCACGGGAGCTCCAGGGAGGGAGGCTGGGATGCTGGCCGGGGGCAGATGGAGGAGAGCCACATGCCATGAATGGTACACCCCCGTTGGCAGCTTTAAGGAGTTTTTGTGAATTAAAAGCATGTTTCCATAAAAAAGAAAGGTTTTTGTTTTTTTTCCCCAGCAGCCTGTGAATTAACTAACAAACGAGACCAGCTTGTATTTTTCCGTTTCTGATTTAGAAAGCCACTTTTGCAGTCTGTGACAGAAGAAATTTCAATACAGAGGGAGTGTAAACTAGAGTCGAGTGCAGGGTATGAATCCCATCCAGAGCATGTGTCTCCAGACTCTCGAAAGTACAAAAGAGCGGTACCATACGCCCCCGCGCCTCAGTGCATAAATCTTCCTGGGGGCTCCTACCGTGTCAGAGCCCTGCGGCCCAGTGCATGAGTGGCCCAATGTCCGTCCCAGAACACTAAGTGGCTTTACAGTTTCCCATGAATGAATGATGATGAATTTCCCTCCACAAGAGCCACCAACCTGTGCAAATCCCATTTGCAGTCTTTGCTGTGCTTAAGGACAATTAATTACCCTAAATACCTGTGTGCACACAGTGGTGAGTGGTATCTATAATTTCTAAACAGGCGTTTTCCTAAGGGTGACCTTAGTGGACATTTGGTATCTCTGGTTTCTTGCTTTAAAGATACTGTATGTTAAAAGATCTTTCCCATTTTTCAAGCAGCAGGAACAGGGGTAAAGAACCAGGGTTTCGTCATAATATTCTCTTTCAGGAGTTGAAACCAAGGAGGAAAATAACATCGAACGCTGTGTCTCCCCTAGGGAACTGTCTTCTTCATTCATTCAACAAGTTTTTTTGTTTTAAATGAATGCCAGGTACTCCAGCCACTGGGGAGATAACGGAGAGCAAGACAGCTGGGCTTCTGAATTCCAGATTTTACAGCAAAGGACAATGGTTCTAAATGAGGGCAGCCTCTTGGGGACATCACAGAACTCTATCTGGGGCAGTTGTGGCTGTCACATACTTGTGGAGCATTAGGAGAATCTGGGGGTCCAGAGATGCTAGTTTTGGGGAAGCATGAAGCAAGCCCACCCAGTGAAGAACTGGCTCATGTCTCGTATGAATTTGAATGTCTGTTTTCCTGTCTATAATTGCGTGAGCCTTGAATCTAACTCTGCTTTGTGTGTAAGCCAAAGGTTTTTTGTTTTTTTGTGCAGTTTTCATGAACAATAAATTTTTCAGGAATGCAACTAACCATGTAAATCGAGGGAAGAGAGAGCTTTGTTTGGTTTGCTGCTTTACCAAGAATTGTTTACCACTTCCAAAATCCCATCAGGTCGGCGAATCCACTGGTGGCAAATGAATCATTACAACGCTCCTCTATCCGTGTAATTGGTAGCTCCAAATTACGGTGAGTCTTCATCCAGAAATGAGCTTCCGGATACTTCATTCTGTACACATCTGTCATTGTGCCCAGACATAGTTATATTAAAATTCATGTTTCTAGTTAATAGTTACCTTTCTTTTATTTCTCTGTTATGTTAGAGTTTGGGCACGTTATATAAATAAATAACATTTATTTATAATCAATATATATATACATATACAACCAAAACAGTGTGTGTAAGTCAGTCATACATAAATTTCATTTTAGAATAGTCCGGGAGACATTGTGAAGTTTTTGTTACAAGTGGGACACTTGGTTTGACAAGTTTACGAGCCACAGTTATGGACAGGAAAGTTCTTTAAACAATTACATGGATATGTCATAAATGCAAGGAGTTTGGAGAGCGCATGGTAGGGTGACCATGCAAATCTCACAGGACCTGAGGAGACTTCCCATGAGAAGCTGACCTTGGTGC